TAGACCAGAAATCTTCGCTCTCGAAGGAGCTCTCACATGTTCCTGGCAGGCTGAACACTTTTTGACCAGTTGGTCATATAGCTCGTAGATCTCCTTTGGGATCTGTAAGGCTTTTGTGCGTCGCTTGAACTGATCCGTACTCATATGACGGTGCTTAAGGTGAAGCTTGTAGAGTTCTACAGGGTCCTTAAGCTTCTCATGAATCCTGCGAAGAGCAATGGGAAGAGATGGCGAAGGTTCTGCGACAATCTCTTCACCTGTTGGTGAGTCTGTACCAGGAGCCGGGTATTCTCTTGACTCAAGTGGTCTTACCTCCGTCCCGTCATCAGCTCCTGGGACTGTAGACTTCTCTTCAACAGGAGGTTTGTCCGCATATTTGCGGGTTTTCTTCAGAAGGTTTTTAAGACCCTTTGGAGTCTTTATCTTCGCAGATGGAACCTCAAGTCTTTCTTCTTCTGGAGGTTCATGCGGTGCAGAGGATTCTGCAGGTTTGTCTCTAGAGCCTGATGATGGTTCCGATGGTCCGGAAGGCTCAGGAACATCTCCAGATGATTCTGGTGGATCAAGTCTTTTGGCAGATGATTCTGCCGGATCAGATGGAAGAGGCTTCCTTTTCCCTGAAATCCTCTTCGGTGGTGGATCAGCTGCTCCCTCAGGTGCTCTGTCACAACCCTTGAGGTACGTGTGAGCCTTTTTCTGTCCGGCACAGGCTGGACAGCGACCTTCCGGTATCCTAACATAAGGCTTATTGGCTCCTAGAGCAGTCTCCGTCGCACGGAACGATGTACCTGACTTAGGAGGGTACTTCCTGGTGGAAGTAAAGCCTAGAAGGTCCAATACCAAATGGTTATTGGTACTAATCGGAAGAGGGGTTTTATACAAACCGAAAGCTTCACACGTTGCTAGGTCAGCTGTGGGACTACACTCGAGAGTCATTCTTAGGTTTCTCATCTGTTCAATGGAGAACAAGATGGGGACTCTTCCCTGATCCAAAACTTCTATGGTTGTATCTCTTCTTGGAGTTGTGTTAAACCATAGTGTTACACGCTCCTTGATAAGAGCTGTTTCACTATCTGCAAAAGAGAACTTCGTGTTCGAAGGTGAAAAAGTGAAATCAATCATGCCTGGGGCATGTTGCTTCACGGCCTTGATAAGCCTGTTCACCGCATAGCGGGAACCCATAGCCCTAGTACAACCAGAGTCAAGAATGACAAAGGTAGGGCTCTTATCAAGATTGATCCGCTCGGTGAGAGCAGATAGGACGGTGTGCTGCAACGGAAACACTGCTGTTGCAGTCTCCACACCTTGCCCCTCAGATGGTTCAAAAACCTGGGGCGCGTAACTCACTGATGAGTTGTACACGGGTTCTTGGTGCGCGCTCGGATCTGTGCCTCTACCTGATGATCCTGCTTGATTTCTTCTCTTCTTTTTCCGTGTCTTTCTTCGTGAGGCTTGTGATGCATAGTATGTATAAGACGTTTGATCGTCATAAGCGGCATAATTCCAACTGGAGTCAGTATAATAACTGTCCTCATACCATGAATCCCAGCTCGGTGCGGTGGAACTTTCATAGGCCTGTGGAGATCCAGTTTGGTCTCCTTGTAAGGAGGCAGACTTAGCTGTATCCTTACCTTTGCCTTTTGATTTTGTACCCTTGAAGGAGCTTCCTTTATCTCCTTTGTCCTTTCCTTTTCCTTTGCCTTTTCCACCTTTTCCTTTTTCTTTTCCTTTACCTTTACCGAAATAGCTGGAATCAGTTGGATCATGTTCTGCCTGGTTGGCTCTCCCTTTTCCGCGGTATGACCTAAAACGGCCACGTCCTTTTCGCTTGCCACCCTTTGCTCTTCCCGGTGATCCGGGACGCATTCTTGGTCTTCTTCCCTTTTTGAATCTCCTTGCAACGAAGGCTTCATGGTCGTCAACTGTCCAAAAGACAGCTTCTTCATCCTCGGCGGCAAGAAAGCCTTCCTCAAGGGTGTCTTCGTCTTGAAGCCAGAATCCGTCGACTCCGTCGTATTCACCCTGATCGAGGATGAGGAAGTTTCGACCTCCGCGTTTGCGGCGTTGATCTCTCCTTCCATGGCGGTCCTTCTTGTGAGAAGTGTGCCGAATATTGGGATCCTGCAGACCAGTTCTGGTCGTTGAGAACTGATCGAACATGGTCTGCCGTACTATAGGGTACGTGTAGGTCTCAATTCGGTAACCTTGGTTGGTCAATGCTGTTACCAACCTCTCACGTTGCATCTCATTTAGGTCGGACTGCACTAGGAAGAGGAGAGCTAGGAGATTATCATTTAGAGGAAACGCTCTTCGATGATTATCAAGGCGTTCCTTGTTCCATGTTTCGAAGAAACGTGCGGCGTATGTGTCTCTCTCGGTTGCATCCTGTAGGCGCATGAAGGTTTGATCTGCTTGCACAGCCTGCATGAAATCAGGATGGGCATCTTCCAGAATTATCTCTGGTAAGAGATCCATCCATGAGTTTCTCACGCGCTGTAGCACGATCTCAAACTTAGCAATCCAAGTCACAAAGTCTTGGTTGCCCTTCCATGCCTTGAATAGGCCGAGAAAACGCCACAGGAAAACGTACTGTTCTCCTTTCACGAAAAATGGACGCATCTTCTTCTTGAAGTAATCTACTCCATCTGGGGCTGCAAGCCTTTCTCGGTTGAGTGATTCTTTTTGTACTGCGGCCAATCCGGAGAGCCTCGTCTTGAGAGACGGACCTCTTTTGGTGTCATCCAGCGTTGTTATGTCGCACCAGTCGTCAATCAACTGTTCATACTCAAACCACGAGGTGGTGCCATCATAGGCAGGCGCGATCTTGGGCGTTATGCCTAATGATGCAAGCATGCGGTCAGATGTTGCATATGACTGTGCGACATAAGTAGCTGGACCTTGGGAGGTCTCTTCGTTCTCATATCCCCCGGAGGATTGGGAACTGCCGTCGGCTTCGCTATGCGAGCTCGACATTGTGCTGCCTCTTATCCGCTTGGTTAAGCGTTCGGCGAGGCCGACCGCTGTAGCGGACTTTGTGAGGCGGGCGGCCCTTTCCGGGCTCCGCTACCAGAAAACTGTGCCGATACACCCCCAAGGGATACTCCTTGTAAGGAGGTGTATGACCAGTTTATTCCCTAAGGATCAAAGGGCAGCGCCCTGCACACGGACAGTAGTTGTTTTGTCTTGCTACGCAAGGAGAGCTTGTCTTGTCTCAATATGGTAAAACCACTGTGAGCCAATGGGCAGCGGAATGTATATGTATGAGCATGCAGCCATTGCTGTAGGTACCTGTTAGAGCTACCCCTTTAGAGGTTTATGGTTTCACCCCCCCCCTCCCCCCCCCCCCTCCCCCCCCTCCCCCCCCTCCCCCCCCCCCCCCCCCCCCCTCCCCCCCCTCCCCCCCCTCCCCCCCTCCCCCCCCCCCCCCCTCCCCCCCCGCCCCCCCCTCCCCCCTCCCCCCCCGCAACCACGTGGCTGTTCGTAGAAGCAGAAGAAGCAGTAGAAGAAGAAGAAGTAGTAGTAGTAGTAGAAGAAGAAGTTGGTTTCATGCCAAGTGACTGGAAAAGGCTCATGAGTCCCTGTTGCGCAATTGGAAGATCCCTGTAATGCCTGCAAGTCTTGCCTCTGGTCTTCGGAAGCTGAAATCGGATGGCACTGGCCAATGCTTGTATTTGGTTCGGTATTGCTCACAGACTCCATGGAAATTTGCTTGTTTCGTTCCGTATTAGTTCTGAGGCCTAGTAGTCCCGTTCGTCCGGTGAGGCCATGCATAGTGCTGTTGTGCTAAGTTCCTTCTTGAAGCAACAGTTGGTCCTTAGGCACTCCTAAACCCAGACTGGTGAGGTAGCCTCCTAGTCTGAGACGCCCGCTCTCCACGCCAGAGTACCTTGTTGATGGAATGTTACTGCTGCTGCATGGAAGGAATGGCCCTCAGTGACAGCGGTGGCGTCCCTTCGTAGTTTAATTTCCGACCTGGAGGTTGTAGTTTCATGTTTGCCTAGGGTCGTAAGCTTCAGTTTTTCATCTATTTGCTGTTGTCTTTGCTTGAAACAAGCTCCGCAGCCGCGCAAAACCCGTAGGTTCTGTGAGGGATGCCGCTAAAGTTCTGTTCTGCGAACAACTGCGCGTGCTGCGTCCTCGGACCGGCGCGCAGGTGCAGTTTTGCCCTCCGCGGTCTGAGTCCACGGACCGCCGTGAAGCAAGTCTTGCTGAGCTTTTGGCAGATTGCTGCGAGGCAAGATTGCCAGCTATGGGGCCGTTACTTGCTTCTTTGCTTGGCCGAGTTTGGCCCGGCCGGTTTCTTCCGTTCTGTTCCTTGGCCTTGAAAACTTGCCCCATAGCTGGCCAGTGAGTCAGCATTAGTCGTCATCAGCCCGATATAGCCCGATGCCAAGGTGCGGGACTAGCCGCACGAGCGTCTGGATGAATGAATGAATGACTGCCACTGCTACTGCGGCAACGCTAGCTACCGCTACCGCTACCGCTACCCCTACCGCTACCCTTACTGCTACCCCTACCGCTACGCCGGCTGCGGCTGCGGCTACGGCTACGGCCACGGCCACCACGGCCACGGCTACTATTACTACTATTACTACTACTGCTACTGCTGCTGCTGCTGCTACTGCCACTGCCACTACTGCTGCTCTTATTACTACTACTACTACTACTACTACTACTACTACTACTACTACTACTACTACTGCTACTGATGCTACTGCCAGTACTACTACTGCCACTGCTGCCACTGCTGCCGCTACTGCCACTGCTGCCACTATTGCCACTACTGCCACTACTGCTACTGCTACTGCTACTGCCACTCCTGCTCCTGCTCCTGCTCCTGCTGCTGCTGCTGCTGCCAGCTATGTATGATTTCGCAGTTATGTATTCTTTTGCAGCAGAAGAGCGACATTGCTCCAGCACAGAACTGCATGTGACGATCTGCCGAGATAAGCGCGCGTTGCAGGAAAAGAGATAGTGGCAAGAAGGCTAAGCGAGACGTGATGGTTCAATTTCTGCATGTCAGGGAGGAGCGAGGTGCCGGGATCTCAGGATCTTGGAGTTCGTGTCACGCAGGAATCAGTTGTTGTGGATTAGGGGATGCCGATGCAGCAAGTGGAGGAGAAGACCACAAGCTTTGCCCCAAATTCTTTGTTGACACGCAGACTTCATATAGGGTTTTTCCTTATGTTCAGACCGGCATTCTGTCCGAGGCCTCGTGCTGACACTGCCAGTCGGGCTCCTGCAAGAACGGCGAGCAATCATCGAGTTGTGTGATGACCGATGCCAAACAAGGCACAGCTGTAGTGAGCTCCTCAGCCGGTCACACTTCTACATCGCTGGAGGGTGTGGAGGCGTGGCAGACGACAGAAGCCATTGCAGCCGATATACCATGTTTTGGGGAAGCAGCCGACATGTGGCACGGTCTTGTACAAATGTTTGTCTGTCAGGGTGTGGCGTGGGAGACTGTAGCATTTCGGCCCGATGCCCCGGCAGGAGTCGCAAGCCGCAAGAGTCGCAATGCTTGCCGAACATGAAACAAATACCTAGGCAAGATTTGTGGCCACTGCGCTCTTACGCTCACCACCCGGAGGCCCAGGGCTGCAGTTGTGCTGTCTTTGTAAAAGTTGTAAACGGCTAACAAAAAACCATGCCCACAGCTAACTGACAGCTGTCGTGAACGAGCTGTAGCATGTTGCAACAGTTTGGCAGGTTCCGGGCAGGTTGCTAGGCAGGTTCCGGGAGAGCGGTTCCGAAACGGATTCAGTTTAGTTTTGGTTTCCGGTGCTGGAAGGGTTAAGGTGGGGAGAGGGGAGGTCGAATCAGCGAGTGCGATGTGTGACATCAGCTCTGCGCGTCTTCTGGAGTTGCGTGCGCAGCTTGCAGGATATCCCCTTGATCTCAAAGTTTTTGGAGCTAACGCCGCTGACATCAATTGTTCCAGCTGTCGGGCTCTGAGCACTGCAGAGATTGTTTTTTTTTGGAATGCTGTCGCATGGTTCCCTTACTGCCATAAGAACTGTCGCAAGGCTGGGAAGCTTCTCTTGCGAGTCCTCAGGCAAAGTGCAGTCTTTGATAGTCCCTTTGAGCGTTGCGTCGCCTGGGCCCAGGCCCGCAAGTCTGAGCCAAATTGGCTTCGTCGCTCCGCAGATCACAGCGGAGCAAAACCAACTGAACCCAACTTCGCCCTGAAATTTCTATCCGACTCTACTGGGGCCCGGGGCCCGGGGCCTGCTCGGCCCCCCTTAGTAGCCCTTAGCCAGTCTCTCCGAAAAGTGAAAAGTGGCGAGCACACCGACAAGCGGAGCCGGGAGGAGATGGTGGGAGGGTGGCACATGGTGGCGCCATGCACCCGAGAAAATTCTAGACGATTGGGTTTGCGGCCTTGGCGGAGTGAGGCCTCTCGGGGTCCTCGTAGACAGAAAGCCTTGGCTTCATGCTGCTTGGATTCGATTCCAGGTTCCTGCATATGTGCGACTACCGCCTAGAGGACCCATTATTGCCTGGAGATAGGAAGCTGTCAGTCCAGTGCCGGCAGGACATATGTGCAATCTTGGCGCATGCCAGCGCGTATTTCATGGATGTGTACAGCCAATGTGCCGGAATGCAGGCTGGATCTTGTGAATGTTGATTTTTGGAACGAGCTTAACTTCTGTCAATAGCCGGCACAGGCTACAGAGGTTGGGCACATTCTGGCCACGTTGATATTTATCGCTCATTGTTATGTTCAAGACGAGCCTGAATCTCAGCTAGTCCTGCAGGCCGTGCTCGCATGTCACACCATCCGCACAGTGAGTATGCATTTGGGATGTTTGGATGTACTAATCTCCTTTGCCTTGCTCGCAGACTTCACTGAGGACTTGTCCATTGAACATTTGGCAGAAGCATCTGTTCAAAAAGTGCGATGCTGGACTTGATTTTGAGAAACCTATATTGAATGTAACATCGTGCAGGTACTGTTCGTTGAAAACGCTCAACTCGGCTGTCATCCGACTCTTGGAAATCCGCAGTGGGCTGAATGGGAAAAAGAGCTGCTCATGTACCTTCTGACTGTCTCTGGTCTGTAAAGGCCGATATCGGTCCGGCGCTCAGAGCTGGGACAGTCGTCCTTGACGCCTTCAGGTGTGTTGCATACGGCCACAGGCTGCGATTGCCCCAGGATGATTTGTGGAAGCGACTGTGCTGACCTTGGCGTTAGCCAGCAAGCATCTCGCCGTCGCCCAGCACAGAGCACTTCTAAGGGAGGCCCTGGCAAGCTCGATTGCGATGTGCACGTCGATCGACACAAGCTTCGGCAGGCCAAACGGTTGGCAGCCGAGCTCGCGTGCAGTCTGGGTCCTGCGCAGATTTGGTAGAGCCTTCCTTGACTTGAGAAGCTACTCGTACCGGACACTTGCCTGGTGGGCACTGACTGAGGGACCCAGTAGCCTGGGTGGGTAGTCGCAGCAGGATGACGACGGGCACAGAAGCGAGTTTTGCAGTTACCGTCCCCCGTTTCTGCCACACCCCTCTGCATCCGAAGACCAGGCCTCTCGCAGGAAAAGCATGGTGCAACAGCACACAGCAGCAAGCGGAGTCAATTGCTTCACGCTGCTGGCTGTGCATCAAGAAGTGTTCGTCCCATCATATGCCATGCGCAAGCTGGGTGTCACATCTGCTCCAGATTTCGTGCTAGTTCGGGACAGGCAGCCACCACCCTCCTCTGGCAGTCGCTCCACAACGAGTTATGGTATGACAATGCTCAGGAGCGTCGGAATCGCTTTGATGCCACGCCAGGTCCCACAGCTCCTCAAGCACAGATCGCCGAAGGTGGCAAATCCCTGCATCCGGAATCAAGATGTGCCATGATTATCTGCATTGATCCCAAGCAAGCCGCTGAATGCTTGCAGTTGACCGGGTTATGCAGGCGACGACAGGCGAGAGGGACGCGGTTATGAAAGCTCTCACAGGCATTCGCTGGAATGTGCTCCTGTGTCAACTCGTAGTAGCACCTTCCTCTCTGCGATACATACATGTACTGTCATGCCCGTCCGTCCATGAAGGATTTGTCGGACTAAGTTAGGTGAGGACGGTTTTGTGAAACGTAGTTGGCAGCACCCCGTGCCTGCGGCAGGCCAGGACGGCAGTGCATTTGAGCTGAATCTGATTATTTTCACGTTTCACATGCGACAACTCGCCGCAGCTGCTCTTGCAATACGCCCGGCAGTGTGTCGCAAACATCTACATGTATCATGTTTTTTTTGGGCGATGCCCATCACCGCAGCGATGCTGTGAGAAAGTAGCTGGTCAGTGACCCAGCACAGCCTTTCTGGCAGAAAACTGCGACCCCAAGCCCTTGATGCTTTGCTTTTGCCTTCGCAGTGTCAAAGTCCGGGAGCTGCAGTTGCAATCTTAGTTTAACAGTCCCGAGGATGTGTCGGTACCACGTGGCATTAGGGCAACAACCACGTCGCAGCACTAATTTATTGCTGGGATGTCCGAGGCATTGCAGTGAATTTGCATAGCCGTAGCTAGGGCCACTGCACGTGGTTGTGAGTCTCAGAACCACGACTTGCAAGAGCATTCAATCAGATTTTCGGCGCGGCCATGGTGCTTCCGGCAACCGGTCAACAAGGGTTTCAGTCTTCGCAATCGCCGGCCCTGTGCTTAGTCGTAGCATCGCAGCCGCTGTGGCTGCTTCACAGTCTTGAGGTGCAGATGGTGCAGATGTTGTGCGACTCTGTTTCCACCGCATCTCCAGGAAGATCGAGCGCGTGATTTGAGCTCTCGCTTGCAGTCAATGCCGCCGATCTGCAAGTACAAAGGCCATGACGGTAGACTCGACTTGACGCAAGTTCCTATGCATTAACATCAGTTTCGCTTTCGCAGGCTTCATACCAGCTTCCAGGGAGCTGTGTGGTGAGACCTTCACACAGCAATGCAGGTCACTTACGCCTGCTCAACCTTGGTTGTGCGTGAGTGACCCCAAGCAGATGAAGCGGTCCACGAAGGCCTAAGTGCTCGGGAAACACCGAGAACGGCTGGTGGGGGCACCCCCTTCGAGGAAACGATCCGTCTGGATGTTCCCTGGACACGGTATATCCGTGCCGTGGCAGGCATGGGCGAAAACAGGAGTTGGTGCAGCAGGCCTGTCGTGCCTTTAGGGCGAGATCTTTCCGTGTTTCCCACTCCGGAGGCAGAATCGTGTGCCAGGGCAAGGGCTTGCGCGTGGACCTGCAGGATGTGCCCGTGGTGTGGCCGAGTAGCCCATGCATCCCAGTCCTTCAAGGAGCAGCATGCTGCAGAGCAATGCCGTGCTGGGCTGGCACACTTCTCAGCAGCATCTCAGGTTACTTTGGAGATTGTCTGTGTTGGTGTGAGATGTCAAAGGACATACACACCTGGCATTCCTGTGCACATTGACTCACGGTTTCTCGTTGAGACAAACACACGAAGGAGTGTGCTGCCCTAGACTGTTACAGTGCCTATGATGGCTGGAATTACAAAGACCTTTAAGTTCGCTGATCCACAAATGTGAGGCTACCCCGCAGTGGTGTAGTATGTGTTGTGGCCCTTCGGACTCTTTTGATTATTTTGGCGGCCACCGTGAAGTAGCCAGACTTGTACATGACCTCGCTGTCTGGTATCGAACGGTGCGTCAAGCCATATCTGTCCACGCGCCGCGAGGGGTATGACTGACTGACTGACTGACTGACTGGACTCTGCTGTGCTTGAAGGCCACCATCATGTCTGCAAGGGTGCGCCTCAGTTGGTTCCTTGCACCTCGGAGAGTGCTCGAAATATATTTGCTGGTACAGGATAAGAGAGCTCCTTTTCTGTTGCGGATGCCTTAGTTACACTTGCTATGGGTGTCGGATGAGTGGGCGACGAGCCGACATGTGCAGAAGCCGGTCCCAGGTCAGGCAATCGGCAGCCTCGAAACCAGGTTCTTTCCACAGCTTGACATGCAAGCTTGTGAGCGGAGTTGAGTAGCCAGCGCTCGCTGAGGCCATTCAGCTCAGCTACAATCCGGGCAGCCAGAGGAGTGTCGAAGGGCTCTACCGACTATTCCTGCGATTATTGCCAGTGCTGGCTTGATTTCGCTTTGGCTTGCCGCAAGCAGCGTCTGCGCCACTCAATGTTGCTAGGGTTCGAAGATGTTACAACACACTGAAACGCTCCAACCCTGAGACAGATTTGGTCGGTGGATGTGTGTGTTGGTTGACCATTTCAGATGCTTCGAGCAAGCAGCACCCAACGACAAACTCAGCGTAATGCTGGTCCATGTTCAGAGGTCGAAGTCTCAGAGTTGTGATAAATGATGGTTCAAACGAGCGATGGAAAGGTGGAAAGGTGTCCCACACTTCCACGGTAGTATCGCGGTTTCGTTGTTCCAGACAGGAGGGACTTGTGTTTTGGATTCTTGGTTTTTTGTTTTCCCATCGGTGGGGTCTGCGCTTGTTGGATGTTCGTCCTCTGGCTGCGTTAGTTGTTTTCCTGCCGTTTCTCATTTGCTGTTCATGCATCGAGTTTGACAGCTAGGCGGTGCACGTATCATTTCTGAGCTGCACTATATATCGGTCTGCAACTTTTGGGCTCAAGCTGGGAAGCGACAGCCAAACCGGCTGTCCGGTACAGTTTTTCGTTCGAGCAGCAGCCCCTGGCACAAGCGTGTTTTGAACGATAGTCGTTACCCGTGAGGTGATGGAACATAAATTCTGCTACATTGCGCGCCACACCGAAGAATCCAGTTCGCATGCAGCTGCAGGTGAGGAATGGCCTGGGCGCATCACTGAACTTGTTCAGCAGGTTAACCTGCACATGCCACCGTCACCGGCCATCGCTGTGCTTAACCCGCTACCAGGGGGTTTGCCTGACACACGTGGCTCCCTGCACGGACAGGCTTAGCGTGAGTGAGCAGTGCCGAGGTGGGCAGCGCTTCCCTAGGATTGGACTTTATTACAGGAGATCCGTGTTGGTGTCATACAGACGCTCAGGCAGCAGACGCAAAGGAACTACTTTGGACAATTTTGACAAGTTTGGCGGCTGTGGCACCGCGGAAGCCGCCGATGTGGGATGCCGCTCGGAAGGGTGCCCTCAGGGTCACAGCACCTACAAGATGCGATCGCCCAAGCGAGACGCTGTCTTTGGGTTTGGTTGGGGGCTGCGGAAGCTGGCTGCGATGTCTTCTTGTCGACCGGTGCTGCGATGCCTCTGTCTGCAGGGATTGTATGCCAGCAGCGTGTCTCCGATGCACTTAGGTCGGCGTGGACTACTTGCTCCCGATTGATCCCGCGTTGCGTGATTGCCCAATCCTCCCGCAAGCTGTGCGTTACCGACGATGCAGCAGTACGGGCTCCGTTAGCTTTTCCAGCAAGTCCAACAAACTGTTATTGTGCAGTGCTCCGCAACCGGGACGACGTGTAGAGGCTATGCGGCTATCCGGTCACACCCGTTTCCACGGCACTGCTCCAAAGACCATGGGCGAGGATTGGCCCAATGCCCTACCGCCTCTGGCAGATGAGCCGGGACGAAGCGCCTCGTCGTGTGGTGGCATTTTCAGTGGCAGGCCCCAGCTTTCCAGATCTACGTTGTTTTGCTCTTTGGGTTGCCTTTGGCCGTCATTGGGTTCAACCGGTATAGCCGGTTCAGCGAATCGTCGTTTCGCCGCTTGGGTCTGCCTGTCACTTCTTCTTACGTCGACGGTTTCAAGTGGTCGACTGGACATTTCCAATGGGCTGTAAGAAGGGTCAATGTCGCTTGGTGAGAAAAGACAAGCCATGGCGGCAGTCGGATGCTTCCCAGGCTTTCCTTCAGGCGCCTGACACATGGCTTTGTGCTTTTCTGGGCCAGAGACCAGCTCTAGGCCAAAACCGGCTTCACGCCAAACTCTACGACCTCCCTGAGCAATCTGTGTCTTCCCTAATTGGATTTGAAGCTTAGGCTTAGTCATGAAACGATGTATGACCTCGTGAACTTCTTGGAATAGGACATGTATGGTCGTGCCTGGAGGCGATTGGAATATGGCATATGGTCGTGTGCGGTGGCTTGGCAGCCAGTGTGAGTGCCAGCACTTCAGGGAGATCACCCGCATCGGCATCGATTCCGGGGGCCTTTATGCTTTCTGGCAGCCTGGAGCGATGCGAATCGCGCCATTGGGCCAGCTTTGGGCTCGCCGAGGTGCGTGGTGCATAGATACAGGAGCACTCGGACAGCCCAGACCGTGCTTCTGCTTTGCAGTTGGTCCACTTGCGTTTGTTCGAATATCAGACTTGAACCCCATCCAAACCCAAATTCAGGGATGCTATCAGCCGGCTGGTTTGGAAGACACGTGGCATCGCGACCATTCCTTGTCCAGGTTTTGGGCGCGGTTTCCTTTTGAGGCCTGCGCCGACTCATCACTTTCTTGACCGAGTTGGGTACGAACAGGTACGAGCTGTGCTGCTTGACCACTTCCAATTCTTTTTTGGGCACCTTTCTGGTCTGCTGATTCTTCATCGGGCCTTTGTATGCTTTGGAAAAATCTTTCCGGTACTCAAGTCTCCATGGCCAGCACCGATAAGGCTCAGCAAGGGAAACTCATGTGCAGTCGCGTTATGCCCCTTCTGTTTCGTGCCACGCTGGGCATCTTCCCCGAGGACGTTCAGGCCTCCCGTGGAGGATACATTGGTCGATCGGGGGAGTGTTTTCGCATGTTGTGTTTCAATCGAACAGCACGGTGAATACACACTCGGCTGTTCCTGGAATTAAGGGCAATAGAATCAATATGAATTAACTTTTGACGCGCAAGCTTTTCAGGACGATGCCCAACGGGGCTTTGGTTTTGATGTGCCCACCTTGTGCGGTCTCCTTTGCATGCCCCCATGAGAGTCCGTTTGGGTTGTACAGTTGCGAAGGCAAGAAAATATTGTCGCAGTAGTACCACTGGCTTGTGCAGGCAAGGACACCCTGAAACACTGTTTCGCGATGGTCATAGTTGCTGTGCGATCAGGTGTAGAGGATGAAGATGGGGTTTGCCGACGGCCGTGCACAAAGCAAGGTGCTGCTTTTCGACATCCGTAGTTCTCACCTTATGGATTTGTGGGGCCGGTGGAGGCTTACATCTTACAGCATCCCGTTTCGCGGCCTTTGTCCAGTTTCTGTTGTGCGCAATGCGAGTTCACAGAACATGACCGCTCGCACCTGGGGTCGACTGAAAGACGAAGGGTCACGCTGCTCAGTCCTGAACGATGGCAGGGCACGAGAGCTGGATAGAGATGGATAGGGATGGTAAGACATGTCGGAGGCCAGAGGGATGCGGAGGCCCGACGCCCTCGGACGCCCTGGGTCATGTCGAGGCAGCAGCATGTCACACATGGCTTCTTCGGAGGACCCGAGCAGATGCGACATCCATGGAGGCATCTGGACCTGATGTCACCTGTTGCACCGGATGGAGACGTGCACTGGCAGGCGGCAGGTGCGGTGTCGTTTTGCCGGAGGTTTGACCAGTTCCGCCAGGCCTGTGCCCAAGCATGCAGCAATGCGCACTGTTTTTTGTGGGAGTGTTCCAGTGTTTGCTTCATTTGTGGTTCGGTCAAGTGCTTTGTTTGCAGGCACGGCTCAGTATTCTATGCTCTCTCGCTGCCCCTGTCAAGAAAAGGATGGCTTGGCGTAAGCGGGACTGTCTTGGCACTCGATGCAGCTGGGATTTGTGGCTCGGAGATATGTGTGGGGACAGGCTGCGCCGTCGAGCGGGCCCTTGGCAAATGTCCCCTCCGCAGTAAAGCACATGCCGAGCACGATCCGTGTTGGCATTGCTGACCTGGGACTTGTGACAATATTGCCACCAACATTTCATTCGCCATTTCGGGATCCTTTTGCCAACAACTCCCACGCACACTGACAGAACCTTGTTTCTGCTGCTTTCGTTCTCGGGATTGCTCGGGCGAGAATCGTCAAATCGTCGGTAATGCTGAAATGCGGATGCAGGTCTACGGTTCAAACAACCCTGGCTTTGGTGTGGTGCACACTACACGATTTCCAGTTCAACCCTGCCAGTCGCACATCCTCAGCCTTGGTCGGCCATGCGACTATGGACCTTGTTTCAATTCGTTGTGTCAATTCTTTCAGGGTTTCTTGGATCCATTGGGTTCTCTAGTGCTTTGCCTGGCCTTGTCATGGCTTGCTTCGACCTCGCTGGACTCATGACATTCTCGCAGTCGTACGTCTTGTTTGTGTCCCAGCTCCATTGAGGAGATGCAGCGTCGACAGGGGATTTTATGTAGATCTCTTGCAGACATTACACTCGGCAGGCGTGGGACGAATCGTGCATATGACAGGGATGTGCCGTGCATGGGCCATGGAACGAAGTTCTCCTTGTTTCCTCAGCACATTTTGATGGGATTCGTCTCCGGCGGAAGTTTGCTTCTTGACAGCTTGCAATTGTTTTGTTGTATGTAGTCTTTGACTCCATCGTCTTAGGAGAACTATCGCCGCGCCATTTTCGAGGCCATACGGAACAATGCGCCCGCCTGACTTTGTCAATCAGTGCACAGAGAAATGTGACGACACGACATGACATCCGAGGAAATGAGTGCCGGGAGGCGCTGAGTGCCTGCGGGTAAAGGTTTCACTGCCTTTTCCAGAGTCTCAAACCACTGAAAGCAGTGTGTGTGTGGACTCGCAGTTCGCCTTTTGCACAAAGCCCTCTAAGCAAGCTGTGTTTCGTCTTGCGGCCAGCGCAGATTTGGCTGTCTGCCGAAAGCTTGAAAGTTTGGGCCTGGTGGGAGGCAGCCACCATGCTCAAGTAGGGAGGTGAAGCGGAAGGCCGTGTGGCCCAGCACCCGTCCAGGCACCTCGTCGGGTACATGCTGGC